ATCTTAGAGATGATGAAAGCTTCTCATGAAAGTCTTATATCTACGGCTGAGATCTGATTTGCAATCAATTTCAGAGATAATGAAAGCTTCTCATGAAAGTCTTACGTCTATGGTTGAGATTTGATCATCTGTTCAGAGTAATAGTAAGAGTAGAATCCTTATAAATTACGCAGTTTTTGGTGACAAACATCATCAACTTCTTGTATTTCAAGCCTTTCAAAGTTCTCAAGTCTTGAAGCTTTAAATCATGTCTTCCTCTTCTTCCAATGTTAACCCAAATCGTGTTCCTGCAGTAGAGTCTATAGTTTGGCGTACTACTTTTGAAGTGAATGGTCGTCCAGTTACAATAGAAGATGCTATAATGGACAATAAAGATATTGATGTAGCCATGGCTAGAGACATGATCCTTCCCCGTGATGAAACAATGCTGGCAGCTAAGACCGATAAGATACTGCTGTAGCCGTGGCTAGAGACATGGTCCTTCCTCGTGATGAAACCATGCTGGCAGCTAGGAGCGATATTGAAGCAGTGAATCAGTCACTTGCTCTTAGTATTAGAGCTACTTCATCTCTGGTGAACGTTGCAGACCATCTTCATGCTAGAAGACTTGAGCTGAATACTCAGGTTCTTGATCTCCATCATCTGATTGAGAACTTACGGAATAGACTCCGTGATGAAAGACGTCAGAGAAATGACTTGGAGAGAGAATTTAAGGAACAGACTCCGTGATGAAAGACGTCATAGAAACGACTTAGAGAGGAGGAACCAAGAGCTGAATACACATGTCGACTTTTGGAAGGATTATGTTAACACACGACACCTCGAGTTTGAGGAAGAGATGGAGAATATGCGTAAACAATTTGAAGAACTTCGAGGCCTGATTAATGATCAAGATGACAATATCCCTGATCGTCCTCGCACTGTTTAATATTTGTACTTTTAAACCTTTTGTCATGAATAAAAGATCCATCTTTCTTGTCTTCATTTATGAATTTTACTTTCATGAAATTGTCATATTTGATGTGATTAAAATAACTTCACAGACTCCGTGATGAATCTCGTTGGATCCCGTTGGGAATTTTGTTTCAAGAAATATCTACAAGACAAATATGCAATGTTTGTGAAGTTAGATGATATGAGATGCATCTTACCTTTTTGAAATATAGATCCCCCATTCATCTTGTCTGGCGATCTTGAATGTTAGTAAGCTCTTTTGATTCACGCGACTTTCAAATATACTCAAGCTGACCCATGTTGTTGAGTTCTCCAAGATAAACTTTGTTTGAGTTTCTCAATAGTCACTGCCTCTTTCTCCATTGGATACTTCATTGAGAGCATTAGCTTCTCCTTGGCCTGACATCGTGTTGTTGAGGATTCTTTAACCAATTCATATGGTCAATATATGAGGATTATCCCACTCATTTTTCATATGTATCTCCCACTAGGGAAGCAAATTTCTTTGTGCCATTAGAAATCAGGTGACTGCTTCTTTGCCTCTTGAAAATTTCTTGTGATTGCTTCTCTACCCTTGGAAGAAGTAACTGTCTCTTTTCATCTCCTCATTTGCTCTTGTTGTCGTTAGAATCTCTGATTTTCTAACACTGACTCTTGGTGTGTCATATATCTTTCTTCTTCACATAGAAAACCATTTTTTCAAAAATGATTTTTCAAAAGATCTCTTTTGTTTTTGAAAACTGAAACTCTCAATGTCTGTTTATAACAATGTTCAAACAACTCTAAGGATTTGTATTAAATCTCTTAGTAAAAGTAATCTCAGATAAAGGTAAGTGATGAGATGACCTTCTGCTTTGGTTTTCAACGTGTTCAAGCAATTGCTTGAATGTATTTTGAGGGAAAAGGAACAATTGCCTTTTATTTTTAGAAACACTCATTTTATCAGCATGAATAATAATGAATAATTATTTGCTACATCATGACTCTTTATGAAAAAGTCTCTTATATTTTGAGAACGCTGTTTATTGATCTAGGTTGCTTTCTTGATTAGAAAGGACTTTAAAGGCATGTAATGTATTTATGGCTCAAGGCTGTAAAAGAGGATTTCATAAGCTCAAAGAAAGTGTTTAAGGGTTTGAAAACTATAGATCACTGTTATCTTATCTTCATCTTTTCTTTTGCTATCTTGACAACAAAATGATACTAAATATTTCAAATTAGGAATTTTTTTTCTATTTGTTGGGAATTCTCTCAATTATTTGGAATTTTTTTGAATTCCTTGTTGTCAAACTCATAAGCTCACATGTCTTCAAGATGATTTCCATGATCATTTCTTTCGTTTTGCTCCCAGTGTAGGGTGTGATCTTAGTTAAGGTTCTTATGAAAAAACTTTAAATAGACTCAGCTCAAATTGGGACTGCAAAGGATAATTTTAAAAGAAAGTGAAAGGAATATCAAAAATGGCCTTTCTTCATTTCAAGTAGGATCGGTTAAAACCAATAAACTTTGTCCACATCCAGCGTAATATTTTGGATTTATAAGATACCATCCTTCGGTTGAGGCGCATTTATGACACTGGCATCCTTGCCTAGCTATAATCTTACTACTTCCTTTCTAGTCTTTAATTACCTCCCACTTTCTGTTTTCAACAGAGCATGAAACAGGGGATCTCAAAACAGAGAAACCCCCAAAAATGATCACAACCTTTAAGGTAATTGACTTAAACCAATAATAGCATTGAAAGATTTGAACTTTAAGAATGCTCAACCAAGAAAAGTTCAATAAGGTAGAATGCTAAATGCTCAAGCTGGCAGCAAGAGTTAATATTAGGTTTAATAGATTTAAATTGCTGTTGACAATATTACATACAAGAAGTTGCTCTAATTTTATTTTTTATCATCCATACCTACAACTGATTACAAACAAAAGTCAACAAAATAACAAAAATCCATTATAGAAATCTTGCTGATTATTAAAAGCAAATTAACAAGTAATCATACATAATAGCCTCCATCGGATCACAAATTAATCATGGAGGCATAAGCTAACAAATCCTTCTTGATGAACCTAATTAACAGTACTGAAATCAAGATAATTTAATCAGCTCTCTCCTCGAACCTCACAGGAAAACCACCCTGCATTTTGGACGTCAAATAAGCGACAAACACGGGCTCAAAACCCTCCTCTGCTGCAGGAACAACCTTAAACCTCCGTACAATCCCGGCTACCAACCTTTTCATTTGCAAGAAAGCCATGTCCTTACCCAAACAAATCCTTGGCCCAGCCTGAAAAACAGGGTAGGAGTATGGGTCCTTCCCTACAAAACTCCACTTCCCATTATTATTAACTCCATCGCTAGCACTCTTCAGCCATCTATCTGGCTTGAACTTTTCCCAATCCGGACCCCACAACATCTCGAGCCTCCCCATTGCATATGGATGGTAAGACACTCTCATTCCCTTCTTAACCACAGTCCCGTCTGGCAAAACATCGTCCTGCATTGCAACCTTGCCATCTACCGGGACTGGAGGGTACAGCCTCATGCTCTCACATAAAGAAGCATGTGTGTAGACCATGTCCTTGACTTCTTCATAAACTGGACTCTCTGATTTGTCTTTTATCTCTCTGAGTATTTCCTTTTCCACTTCTGGGTTTTGAGAGAGTAGCCAGAAATACCACGTTAAGGCAGCGGAAGTGGTGTCTCGGCCTGCTAGTATAAAACTGATGACAATATCAGTGACAAAGTCCTCGTCAGAATGGCCTGAGCTCAAGAAACGTGATAGAAGATCTACGGTTTCGAGGGATGATTTGTTGCTGAGTTCCTGCTTCTTTTCTTTGATGATGTTTCTGGCGAACTCACGTAATGCAGAGGATGCTTCTTTCAGGCTTTTCTCTGATCCAATATTGAAGACCCTCTTAATCTTCCAAAGAAAGGGGAATAGCGTAGCGAACCTGTCACTGGATATCTTGGCAGCTTCATCAAAAGTTTTCGCAAATTCGGTTTCAGGGAGATCAGGCAGCAAGTATGCAGGATCGTATCCGAAAGCGATCTTGCAGATGTTGTCAAAAGCGAATCTTTGAAGTATGTCTTGCAAATCAAGAACTGTATTGTTAGCCGCAGCAGTGGAGAGAATCGGGATCAAGCGTTGAGATAGTTCAGTATCGACAACGGTCTCAACGAATTTACACAATGATTTGGTGTTGAATTCATGGCTGGAAACTTGTCTTTGAAACTTCCAAGAATCACCATCAATGTTAAAGATACCGTTTCCAAGAAAATCAAAGAGGGTTCGCCGAGCTTTGCTACCTTTCTCATAGTTGTAAAACTGGGTTTTAAGCATGTGCTGTACATTTGCTGGGTTTCCTGTAAGAACACGGCTATCATCCAAGCAACGGCGGAGAACAACAGTGGCAGTGGGTGAGTTTTGGATAAGATCTGAAGTCCACTGTATGACTCGGTTTCTATTGGCAAAAATGGCTACAGAGGATCCAATTAAGGGGTATGATTTTAGGTTTGGATTAGATTTTGATGATGCTTTGGAGTTGGAATTCTTGGTGAGATAGAAGAAGAGGGAGACAAGTAAAAGGGCAAGTGATGCTAAGAGCTCAATAATAGACATGGCTTGGTCTGGTGAATTGTTGGCTGATGGATATTTCTTCTTGGCTGATGGATATCCAGGTAGGGTCGATCGATGTGTGAATTGATAGGTGAACCATGCACAGCTATTTATAATATAAGCTCCAAGGACCTGCGAGGAAAGGGGCAAGGCAAGACTTCAATTCCATTCGAAAGAAACACTGTTCTTCTTTTTTGTATGCGCGTGCGATGCGGTATGTGATGAAGACTGCTGTTTCGGCTCCTGAAGTATAAACCATTCTATTTTGAGATTTCCTTTCATGTTAAAAATAGTATCAATTCAAGAATTTATTTTAAAAAAATTTAAGATAATAATTTTATATCATTTTTATGTCATCATGAATAATCATTATGAAAATAATAAGCTTTTTAATAATTAAAGATTTAAAATTATATTACTTCTAAAATGATCTCGTTTTGAGTTAAATGATGTGCTAATTAACAATTAATATATTTTTATAATAAGTTGTTTTGTAGAAGCCTTTTCAAAGAAAATGTTTTCAGTTCTCTATGTCCTGTAAATTGACAGTGTGAAAATGGTCTGATTGACAGCTATTTGAATTTATGCGTTTCAAAGTTTTTTAAAAAAAATTAAATTTTATTAATTTATTTTAAATTAATAAATTTTTAAAAATTAAAAAAAAATATTAATATATATTTTAATATAAAAAATTATTTAAAATACAACCACAAAAAACACTATCAAACAAGCCCTACACATAACCAAGGCCCCATTTAAAACCCAATTACAGAGTTTTATTTATCATAGTTGAAAAGATCAAAATAAAATAATTATTAAAAAAATTATTTTAAAAAAGAATTTGAAAATTATCATCATTATAATATCATATAAAAATTTAATTAAAAAATTTACACATATATCTATAACATGCCAAAAAAACAAAGAAAGAAGAAGAAAAAATTGAAATAGAATAATTTTTCCACATGCAACCTTATTTTAAAATTTTATTATTGAATAAATAATTTCAATCTAGCCTATTTCTTTAAGAGGTTTATAATTCTTTAAATAAAGATAAATAAACTAGTAAACCTAGAAGTAAAGAAAAAACAATAAAATTTCCAAACAAAATAGAAAAAAAAATTATCAATCTCAACATTTGATTTTCTAAACTAAATAAAAAAAATAAAAACATCATAAAAAATATATTTTCCTACACTAAATAGAAAATCATTATAATAAAAAAAATATTTTTGTAAATTGAATAAGTAAGTATTTTTTGAATGATATATATATTCTACTTTGAATATTATTAATGATCTTTTTTGTTGTTATTAAATTTATCTTGTTGAAACCTTAATAATATCTAAAGTATTGTAATTGAGGTTTGATATGTATTTGAGATTTCAATCATTTATTTTTATTTTTTTTATATATTTAAAAAACATGTGAATGTTTTAAATATTGTGAATGTTTATGTTTTTTTAAATGCCACGTGGTTGGCTTTTACAATTACTCTTCCTTCTTTTTTTCGTAATTATTAAATCATTTATAGAAGCTTCTGCTACACCTCATGTAGAAGCTTCTTTCTTGGGGTATAATTTTGATGTGGTTTGACTAAATTGAAGTTTGACCCTGATCTGAACATCTTGACAGGTCGGTTAGATCGTCAGGGAATGCTTGAGCAGACAAGCACGTGTTGTTCACCGGAACACTCCACAGGGAATAGATGGCGTGGGGGGAACACCATCTTTTTTATTCGTGATACAAATGTATTATTACTTTTTTAATTGTTTTTTATTTTATTTTGAATGGCTGGAATGGGTGATGTAGCATTTTTTATATATATAATTTAATTTTTTAATAGATTGGTCTAAAAGCCTGTTTATATAGAGATATCTGTCCTAATCGTATTATTGGTGCACAATTACATTATTTTGGTATTATTACTTTCTTGGTTGATAAGTTTTTATCAATTAATTATTTTTAAACAGTCTTGTCTTGTAGGCCTTTTCTTTTAAGTAGATAATCAATAAAATAATGAATTTTAATAAATTTTCAAAAAAAATTATACTCTTCTTAACTGTAATTTTAAAATTTAAGAATCTTGATTTATTTCTCTACAATTTAGTATAAAGCTATAGGAATTAAAAAGGTTATTTATGCTTATATCAAGTTTAAATTTTGTTTGTTTTTGTGTATCAAACATGTTTTTTTAAGTTATTTTTTATTTTTTATTTTAAATTAATTTTTGTAATATTTTCATATCATTTATGTGATAATATTAAAAGTATTTTTTTAAAAAATATCATTTCAATATATTTTTAAATAAAAACTATTTTAGAAAACTATCACTCAAAATATCTTATTAATCACTTTCATGAGACCCGTGGGGAGTGTCTCCAGGAAATTGCAGCGGAGGCAGCTTTCTATCTCAACCGCACTTTTAAAAATCCAAAGATAATTCTTAAAATATACGCAAACGAAGACAATTCCACACTAGTGGAAGAGTTTTTATTTTAAACGCCAGCATTCAAAGAGAGACAACAGATGTTTTTTTTAGTTTGAAAGCACTTTCCAAATAACGTCACTGATGATATATCTCTGCTATCTCCTTGTCTTTTCTGGTCAGCTTTGACAGCGTCCTCAAAGTCCACAAAACAAACACGAGGATAGGTTCTTTGGTTGTCATCAATGCTGGGGCACTTTGAACACTTGAAACATTATTCATTGCGATACGATTTGATTGTTTTATTAATTTTTTAGAAAAAAATTAAATTTTTTATTTTAAATTAAAGTAATATACTTTTGATATTTTCAAATTATTTTAATATAGTAATTTTAAAAATAATTTTTAAAAAATAAAAAATATTATTCATGTATTTTTCTAACTAAAAAACAGAAGGGTTTTCTAACAGTTATGTTATCTTTTGGGAATTCCTATCTGAGAAGAGTTGAAAATCGAATATTAAAATGCGAATTGGAACCGGCTGCGTGCTGTTCTAATGTGAAACCAAGATTTAGAATGGAAAGTCTTCCTTGCATAAGTTAAAATACAAAGTTGAAATATATTGGATAAAGGAAGAGAAGAATTGCTTCTCATTTTCCTCTCTGTCACTAGGGATAATGAAAGTGGCCCCTGCATGGTAGAAAGAAATGAAGAGAGGTGGTCTTTCGAATTTACAACGGACTTGTTGACTTCAAGAAATTATAGATAGTAAAGTTAATAAAAACGATGCAACTTTATGCAATCTCCTCTATTGGTGCCCTCACAACCATAAAAAACGATGAACCTGCCTACAAGTTGGAGTAACAGGAGAGGTGGCTAAAGAAATCCACCATGAGGGCGGAAGAAAAATGGAGGAAATCACTTCAAAATGGACAGAACCAACCCTCGGAGTATGTTATTCTTTTCTTCCAGAAATTTAAGGTATTATTACCTGTACATTAGAGCTCATTATGTCTGTATATGATTTAGACGATAGCTGAGATGATGCAGCAGAGCATTTAGCAAGTCCTGCACTGAAATGCTGGTAGATAATGTGCTTGGCTTCCAATTCTTTCAGTAGTGCCAAGCGCATATCTGAAAATTATATCAAGTATAAGAGGAAAAGACACATGATGAATCTTAAGTGCAGCGTTATTAAAAGATTTAAAAAATAAGGTGAACATAAAAGGCAAAGCGTGAATCTCAACAGGGCACAGTGCAAATAACCCTCTCCACTCAACTGCAATCAGAGCCAAGTATCTTGAATGGTTCATTAAAGCAGCATAGTTTTGATCAGTTGAATATAGTAACGCAGGGGACAACATAGGAAAAAAGAGTCTCAGTCAACGAGCAGGATTAGTTTTATCAACGTCATTTCCATTTCAGAATTCAAAACATGTGAAGGTTGGCAACATATTTATGCTAGTTATTTTCAAGTTCCTTTTAGTTGACAAATACATAAACTAACATTTTCACTGGCAATGGTTCGAGGATTAAACAGCAAAAAAAAGAAGAAGAAGAAGATGCAATGCATAGTGTGAATAGAGTCCTAATCAATAATTAGTTTCTATGTGCATAGACTTTCTAAACTTCTAGCCAAAAGAACACACTGGAAGCTGCAAATTTGAAAATGCATCAATATCGTATCATGCCACAATGAATTTCCTCTAAAAAATCCTGGGTGATGGTATATGCTTGATTCATTAGGTTTTTCTGAACAGAAAAGGGCAACTCAATTTTCAAAACCATTCATCATTCCAATGGGAGAGTTTCAAAATTAGCAAAGGCTGATTATAAATTTCCCTTTTCCAGTAAACATGTTGATTGTAGTGTTACTAATTTCCGAATGAACACTTCACTGCTACCAGAAATTAGCAATTGCAGAAGCAGTAATGACAATAAAACGCACATGTGGAAGAGAATGCAAATGTTATAATGAATATACTAACCCCATAATAAAGCATATAAACTCATGGAACAGACCGGCTGCTATTTCTCATCCCAATTTTCCGCAATTCTTGCAGATGATGAACTATTTCTTGAACAAATTGTAGTCCCTCTTTTCCAGATTGAAGAGAATTGAAAGCATGCTCCAGAAAATTCCTATCAAATTCAAGTGCCTCCAATCTTCCATTAAGGTCTGAGATCTCATTTTCAAGAACAACCAAATCAATTTCTTTGTGTTGCTTGGACGATTTTTTCCCATCAAAAATCAGATGGTTACTTTCATTGTTGGCAAAAACTTGATGTTTGCCCACTGAAGAACTGGACATTTCATGGGCAGGAAGGCTTCCATTAGATACAGGTGAATCCTTTTGCATTGACAAATTATCCTCTTTTGTCTGATCAGCAGTTGGACTCCCCTCATAGTCTAAAGATTCTCCCACATTATGCCCTCCATGAGCTGCTTCCTTGGAATAGTCACTATTAGACATGAATTGCGAACCCCCATGAGATGCAAATTGATGAAGTTTCCTCTCCAAACCCTTCAAACGTTCTGAAATGAGCAACTTTTCATCTTCATATTCTGACAAAGAAGATTTGACACTAGCAGGTTTCTCATTGTCATTCAAGACCTCCCTAAATGATGAGCTACAAGGAACAATGGTATCACCATAGTATGGGGAAGTATTCTCTAAACTCATGTTTTTCCCCTTCAGATCATCACTTTCCACATGTATAGTCTCTGCTGTTGATTCATTGGAGAGGTTCAATTGCAAAGAGTCTATCTCTGCTTCCAAGTCCTGTATTTCTTTCTCTTTCTCAGCCAGCAGATCATTAGCTTTCTCCAGAGCCTCAACATCATACTCTGCTTGCTCTTCCATCATTCTTAGGTACTGCAGGGCCTCCATATGAAGTGCTGCCTTTTCCTCTTGCAACCTTGTGATCATGGCCATTGCCTGATTTGCAGAAATTGCAGAAGCACTTCTTTCTTCCTCTAATTCCTTGTACAAAGCGCTTATGTGTCTCCTATCTGACTCCACTTGTCGCTTTAACCGATCAATAATACTTTCACCTTCAATCTCAGTGAAAAAGCTTCCATCGAGAGACTCAAGACCGGATGATTCAGTGCTCTCTGTCTTAAGGATTTGAACTCCATTAGATCCCAAAGCATTATTCATCTGCAATTCATCATCATGACCTTCAATCCCGGTGATAGTGTTATGCAAAGATAAATCAGGCCCTTCAGCAAAAACATTTTCCGTCGGCAACTCCGTATCAACTCTTTCAGGTCCATTCACAGTCTGTTTTTTTGCCATAGAAGTTCTTGATTCTCCATCCTCACCACTGGCAGCAGGCTTCCATACATCAATCAGATCCACACTACGTGAATTTATAGAAGGCACTTCATTAGCAACCTGACCACCTCCTCTGGTATTTGCAGTTAATATAGAAATTTCCTTGTCCTTGTTGATGGATATATCTTGTCTGTCACCCATTCCAGTGTCATTTGCTGCTAGAAACAATCACAGGAAGGTAATAAGTTGAATATAAAACAGTTATCGTCACACATAACAGGCAAGTGAAAAGATATGGAGAACTTACATTTCCTTTCTGATGCTCCCAAAGGACCTTCAACAGCATTAGATGATGAGGGAACTGCTAGTGACATGAGATCAGAGAGTGCAGAAAGATTGTAATTCTGAGAGAAAGGAAACATGAGCTCACTTCCCGTCGATGACACTCCTACATGAGTGTCCATTACACTGGATGAAGAAGGAAAATCATCAAAAGAAATAAGCTGAGGTAGGGCAGAGGGATAGTGTTCATGATCAGCTTGCTGCCTGTTAAACTCAACATCAGAAGCCAAACCTTTCAAGGAATGATATGTCATCTTCTCCGAGGCTATACCATCAGTCCATGTTTTGGGGGGAACTATAGGCTCTTCCTTCAGCTCCTTCATTATATGACTAATACTACGGCCCTCATCATCATCAGAAAATGGGAATTCCGACTCAGAATCAGAAGTGAACTTGAGCTCAGTGTATGCTACTTGTGACCCAGGATTGTGACCACACCTTACAAGACGGTGAGATGTTACAGATCCAGGAAAATTCTCTCTCCTTTTCTTTATATTTTCACGGTGGGTTAAATGGTGGGGCATGGGAATATTAGGCTTAGTCATCCCACTCCTAGGTGATTTCAGTTGGGCTACTCTGTTGGAAGGCTGTCTTGATCTCCAAGGCTTATTGCAACATGAGCACATCCTCATACCAACAGAACCAGAAACAAGTTCTCTGCTCCACAGATAGTTCTCAAAACCATTAGTGCCAATATCAAACCCGAACTTACCCATCAACAGTCTGTTTATATCTGTGCTTGATTTGCTTTTCATAGTGGATGACAATAGACATTCCTCACACATTCCATAGCCATCAGCAAGCTTCCCATGAATGTGACAAGAAATCAAGGTTGATATTTCTGATCTATGGTTGCTGCAAATTACATTTTTATAAAATCCAGGTTTTTCATTGCCCAGAAAATGACCAAGCCTGGAACAAAACATGCAAGGTATCTGCAATCTGCAATAACTTGCAAATTTTGTCAGCAGATACGACAGTGCAGCATCAATAAGCAGCAGAAAGATCAAAAACCATTCAGAAGCTGCTGATTGTAGAACTGTCATAAACCTCTGCAAATTCCTCTGTACTTTAACAAATGAGGTGCCAACTGGAGCCATTTCCATCATAAACACACTAGAACTCCATGAATTTTTGGACTCGCTAATAGGAAAAGAAAAAAAAGGCTGTTATTCATCAAAATATTTCATAGGCCAATCATCCAAATGCATATCTTCTGAATTCAATGCAGCGAGTTGCCACAACCCCCAGAAACCAGAAAAATTTAATGAATTCAGAAATAACTAAGTTACAAATAAATCTGCAGCAATGCTTTTAAAAAATGAAAAAAGAAAAAAGGAGAAAATCAGAAATGTCTCAGAAAGCCCCAAAAAGGAGGATACTCAACTCAACTGTGTACTTTTACCAAAGTTTTTAAAGCTTGACGTGAGACTCTATCTAAAATAATTGAACCTGAAAAAAAGGCAAAGTTAATTAGGGCATAAATGAAAGGATCATGAACTGACAAACTCCTCGTATAAATGGACAGTTGGAACAAATTCTTAAATAACCTTCAAAGTTAGGGAAACCTGGCTCAGAATACATAAGAAAATCAGTACAGATTTTTCTCTACCCAATTGCACAAGGCAGTAATAAAATCAACCAACAAGAAGGATACTAAATTAAAAAACAAAAAGAAGAATCCTCTACCCAGCCCAACTACACAATATAACACTAGAATCAGCTAACAACCCCAATAATGATGACAGACAGCAAATTTAATTTGCAAACCACATCGATTGATGCTAAGAAGCCAATCCCAGATTCACTTTTGAGATTGTTTTCTACTTGGTCCCACAAAAAAAAAAAATTATCCCTTCTGAATTTTGCATAATTACGAATTCACTACTTCATGCATGATCTGCACTCTTTCAAGGTTAGAAACACAAATGCTGAGAGATTAAGAACCGCCAAACCAATCATTATAAGTGAAAAGAAAAAGGGTCACTGTGAAATACAATGTACAATGCAATGACAACACAGATTCGTATAAAAAGAATTGAACTTTAAAAATGAGTTTCAATCATAAGCACCAAAATGAAAACCAGAGATAGAAAATGCACCTGGGACACAATGGAATTTAACGAGGAAGAGAGTGGAAGGGCATTGCCATTATAAATGATTTCCAAATTCGACAAAGAAAATTAGAGAAGACAGACACGAAGGTAGTGATAATAAGGGAAAATTATAAAATGGTTGATTATTTATCACTGAGGAAAATGAGTGACCGTTGAAATGAACAGTCTCGGATTAGTATGGTGATGGCCAAAATAGGAATGCAAATGCAATCGGCAAACAAAACCCATCCCATCCCGATTATGTGGACAGGTGTTCAACTTTTGTTTAATAAATTAGATGGTCCGCCGCTTCTCGAACCAATTTTTTTAAAACATCAAAAATAATGTTAAGAACACGGTGAATTTCTTTGCAGAGACATTAAACTCCACATAAATCTTGAAACTTCTTAATTAGGATTTTTATCAATCTGGCTCAAGCCTTTAATTAAATTTTTTGATCGAATCGTTTTCACAATTTAAAAATAATCTAGATATCAGTAAAAACAAAGGTTTAACTTTAAAAAAAACTTATATACATGTAAAAAACGGTTCTAGATTAAATCGAGTCGGGTCATGGAATACTAGCTGTAATAAATATATTTTTTTATAAATTATTTTTATTAAATTATATAATAAAAAATAAATATTTATATAATTAAATATCAATTTTAAAACATATATTTATTTAAAATTATAATAATTTTATTAAAAAAAATAAAAATAAATCATGAAATTTATTTCTCAACATGATGAAATTTATTTCTCAAGCACTTTAATATTATTAAATGAATTAAAAAACTAATACTTCAATATTATTAAATGAATTAAAAAACTAATAGGTCAAAAAAATTTAAAAAAACATATCGAGTTCGACGGGCAAACACTCCAAATATATAAGTCGGGTAATTCAGGTCAACATGTTAAACCTGCAAACCAGATCATGAACTCTACTAGAATTAATAACTTGTTTTAAAAAAAAAATATTTAATTATATAATATCAAAAAGAAACGATCACAAAATCAAGCACCAACCAAATATTAGAGCTTTTTTTTATATTACAATAACCTCATAGAAAGTAAAACAAAATAATTTATGAAATTCAATTCTCAATCAATCTATTACTGAAAGATAAAATTTTTTAAAAAAATTAAAACCACAAATTAGATCAACTCATGAAACCTGCAAATCAAGTCAACCCATAAAACTGGTGAATAGATCCATGAATTTTATAAAGTTTAATAATAATTTTTTAAATTATTTTTTTAACTATAAAGTAAAAACAATAAAAGATCATAAAATCAATAAAAATAAAATAACTCATCAAACCCATGAATCAAAACAACCCAGGTTACAAAACCAAAGCTGTAAACTGATCATTAACTCCACAAAATTTAATAACTTGATTTAAAAAAAAAAACTATTTTTTATTTAATTAAATGTTAAAAAAATAGATAGTCATAGACTGATCATTAACTCAATATTAAAATTTTTATTTGACATTGCAATAACTTTATAAAAAAATTAAAAAAAAAATTATGAAGTTTGATTACCAAATAACAAATTTAAAAAAATATATAATCAAAGAGATTTTAATAATCAAAGGACAAAACTGAAATAAAAAAAAAAAAGAAAAGAAAATGAAAGTCTGGGTGGTAAGGATACTACCTCCAATAAAGGTCAATTACCCATGTTCGGGTTAAGGGATAAATCTTTTAGAAGTTTAAGGGATTATTATAATAAATGTGAAGAGAAGATGAAAGACGAATTAAGTTAATTGTTAACTAAATTCTTAATAGATATATATATATATACACACCTTAGTTTACTCAATAAAATTTATTAAATTGCATTGAAAAACTTTATATTATATTAATTAATTATTTTATGACACAAAAATTTCATGATCCTTCTAGTATCGTTGGGATTAGTAGATGACTTTATATTTTGTATTTATAAGAATGTTAATGATGTTGCATATTATGTGTGATTTTTGATAATAATAAAATGAATGTAAATATTTTATTGCAACTATTATGCTAAGATTTTATGATGTTTTGGACTTAAATATTAATTAAATTCATGATTATTCAATGTGAATTTTAATTTAATAATCTTTCTATTAAATTTCTAAAATAGCAGCTTAATGATCCTTTATGGGTGGTAATGTTTCAATTATTGCATGGATGATTTAATTGGAAAATTTCAAGTAAAATTATTTATTAAACTCGAGAAATGCTGTAACCCGAACCATTGATTTCTCGTATTTATTTGAAATGTGTTTAAAATATCTCTATATAATTTTATATACACAAAAAACACAAACCCATCGTGTAGAGCGGACCCATATTTATTAGAATCTAAAATAAATAGAAGTAGAATCTGGTAATGGTATGGATATTATTTAAAACATTGGCTAAATCTTCATCTGTCATTTGTTTTTAATATAAAAAAGGATATCTTTTCTTCCAGTCTATTTTACGTGTGAATCATTGACTTCGCCCTTTTGCTAGCAGCTCTTCGATCCACCTGGAAAAACTCCATGGCAAGAACACTGCTAACATGTGTTTCTTTCCTTGTTCAAGAAAATGCATCTCCACAACTGAATGTTTTTTATGAGAACGAATTATATTCATATACGCTGAATAAATGAAAGCAATTGATGAACAGTTGGAAGCACGAGTTACTATTAGCTGTCCCTTTCCCTCCTTTTCTTTCAAGAAGCTTTCAGACATAAGATTTGCGACGATGCCACCTTTACGCTTGAGGCCCATCATTTTGAAAATTTCGTGAGGATTGGAGAGGGGCCGCGCGGACGCAGGCCCCAACTAGCACAAATTATGACGTACACTCTCCCACTTGGGGAGATGTTAGGCTCGCGCGCTGTCCACGTGCAATGAGAACCGCCAGCCTAGGCCATGGGCCTTCTTGATCGCCCATCGACCCCGTCCAGGTAAGTAATTTTTTCTGCTCAGCTGCCTGCTATTTTATACTCCATCCTTCAACTCCACTCTCCATTTCTTTCCGATGTGGGGCAAAGATCAGTCGATCATCAGCACGTAAAACAAAGACTGTATCGAGGTTTTCAAAAGCATTCATCTTTCTTGGAGAAGCTGTGTGTTTTGAACCAGGTTGGATCCATGAAAGGATTCTTGGGACCTTTGAGCGTAAGTTGAGGTCTTGTATTTTGGATCTGGTTTCTTCCTTTTTTGGGTTTTGATAATTTGATGGAGATGGTGATGGGGTGGTGGCTTTGGATTGCAGCGGCTTGGAAGTATTAGGAGCTACTCAGGGACGTTTAAGAGATCACAATTGCGGCTTGAAGGGGTTAAGGATGTTATTGCTGTTGCTTCTGGTAAAGGTGGCGTTGGCAAATCCACCACTGCTGGTACTTTTTTTTGGGTTTACTTCTGTTTTTTCATTTCTTTTTTATTTTATAGTCTTAGGGGCAGTTAAGTTGAAGGGTTTGTTTCATTTTGAGCTTTTTAACAAGTTTGTTTTCATTTTTCTTCTTAATATGGAGTCTCTTTTGGGGTTTTGGGACGGTTCTAAATGTCAGCATCAAGGAAAAATTTCCGTTCTTTTTGTCAGTTTTGCTGAGCTAATGAGGCAATTAGGTGATTACAATGTTCTAACTTCCGGGTCAATGATTGTATGCTGATTTTGAGAAATGACTGCGTTATTAGTTTTCATTTTGAAATATTTGCTTTTTCTGTGATGTTTTAAGTGGGGGTGGTTTAAAGAGGAGTGGAAAGTTGAAACTAACTTCAAATTATGAGCAATATTGATTGTTTCTCTGAATTCAAATGCGTTTGATTGCCATGTCATATGTCTACTCTTTGTACATAAGATCCACGAGGCATTTACCATTCCCCCTTTCCTTAATGCTGTTTGATTTGATTCTTATCCGCACACTGGTTGGACCTGCAGTTAACTTGGCTGTTGCACTTGCTATTAAGTGCCAACTGAAGGTGGGCCTGCTTGATGCTGATGTTTATGGACCATCTGTTCCTATGATGATGAAGATTGACAGGAAGCCAGATATTACTGAAGGTGACGCATTAAGTCTCTAATGTGTTCAAAAAGGCATGTTGTCGATTTAAGGTAGTATTTTAAGTGGATATCAATAAGTTGATCCTTGTAGGTGTGATAGCAAGGGGTTTGAGATAGTTAGAAGTTGTTTGCTCTATTTATGATCGTTTACTAACCTGGTTGATTTCGTGACTCATCATTCTCATTTCTCACTCTCACTACTGAATTACATGCGTTGTGCTTTGTACCTTGCAAAATATGTGTATTTTGAAAATATACTGAGACACAAGGAAGTGAACTTATCGTACAAGTCAATTTTCACACACCCCCCCCTCCTTGACTCCCCTTCTACACGCATGGCAGATGCCGATGTTGGAGAATGAGTTTTTGTTTTTGTGACGTCATTTACTTCTAGTGATTTCCTTGTGGGCTGAAGTTATGTGAATTTAACATCCAGTGTTGAGCTTGAGGTGATACACCTTCACACCCAAACATATGCAATGGATCTCTGTTTGTCATGCTTATAACTTGTAAACAATAATTTGAACATAACTTTCTCTCTCTCTCCTCTCTCTCTCTTGCAGATAAGAAGATGATTCCAATAGAGAACTATGAAGTTAAGTGTATGTCAATGGGATTTCTTGTAGAGAAGGATGCCCCTATCGTATGGAGAGGTCCCATGGTACGTTAGTCGTTATATTTCTCCTACATGTTGGCAACTCATCTTTCAGATGGATTGTGGTCTTACATCTACTTAACAAAAAATCTGAACAATTCATCGTCAGTTAGTGTAATATGATGCTTTTCCTTGTCTTTTAGTGAAAAATATGTCTAAACATTGATAAAAACAAAAATCGAGATAACTCCATGCTTTATATTTACTCTCCTTTCATCCATGTGCCTTTACATCATCTGCAAATGATTACTGGTGGCAGGAATGTAGCAGTTTTGTCCATGGAATTTTTTATTTGCTTCTTATGAGAACTTGAGTCTACCTTCTACTACAGGTGATGAGTGCTCTTGTGAAAATGACTAGGGGAGTTGATTGGGGGAATCTTGATATTCTTGTGGTGGATATGCCCCCTGGTACTGGCGATGCACAACTAACTGTGACCCAAAATCTGCAACTATCTGGTGAGTAAAGAGTATTTCATTTAGCCCGAGGACAAAAAAGATTTGCTCTCCATTTCCATTTTAAGGTTTTGTTAATTTTGTTGTGCTGATTTAATTATCAAAATGACGATTGCATTATGCTGACCAGCCTTTTGTCTAATTAATAATACTAAATGTTGTTTCTAGGTACCTTGTTTATATTAGTATTTTTTTTTTTATTCCTGACCTCTATTTTTATGGCTCCTGGATATAATATGGATATGTTGTGACACTGCAAGCATTATGTTTACGGTGTTGAAAATGATTTTGGATGACTTAATATTTCATTTGCTTCATCTGGCTTTCTATCGTTGCATTTCTGTGGATGACTTAATATTGATTCCCTTCCAACTATTTTGTAAACAGTAAACTTTTTTCCTTGATAATAAGCAGAAAAGGTTGTGATGTTTGTACATGTGCTTTGGTTGGTTCATTCAGTCTGTTTCCCACATGTTATAGAACTCCCTGTATCTAAGTGGGGGCCAAAGAAGAAAGCTTTTCGTATTTTATTGCCAATAAGTGACTGTTTCAGCAACATATTTTCTTCTTGTACAGGTGCATTGATTGTTTCAACTCCACAAGATATTGCGTTGTTGGATGCTCGTCGAGGAGCTAATATGTTCTCTAAAGTTGGCGTTCCTGTATGATCATTTCTTTTGCTGAAATCTGCAAATGTTTCATTCAGTAATTAGTGAAAAAATTCAGCAATTTGGCTTAGATAATGAAGCATTACTAGATATTGCATAAATAAAAAACTGATTATGATCAGTGGCATAACTTTTTTTATTACAAATCACATTAGTTGCAAACAATAATGATTTTGTAAGTTTTGGCGCCACACACATGAAACATGCAAGCTTCTATTGGTGGATTGATATATTTCTCTTGCATGCATGTGTTGGTGGATTGATATATTTCTCTTGCATGCATTTGTTTTCATGGATTTATTAGTTTTTGGTATATTAGTAGAAACTGAAAGCAAGTGTTTTCCTCCTCTGTTACTTGTCATGGAGGAGTTTGGGATTTTTATTATATTAGTTGTGATATTCTATAGGAAAGGAAAGAAAAGCTGCTGTTAATAATTCTATTTATAAGCATCCTAATGATGTTTACAGATTTTGGGATTTGTTGAGAACATGAGTTTCTTCAAATGCCCACATTGTGGTGAGCCTTCATTCATTTTTGGGAAAGAAGGAGCTAGAAATGCAGCTGCTTCAATGGGTCACAACTTTATTGGTGAGATATGCCAACTTTTTTATTTATTTACATTCGACACAATGAGTGCAATCTCTTGATGTTCCAGTTGATTTGTAAATAGTAATTCACTTCAATTTACATTATGATGTTTCAGATACCGTTAGAAGTGGACGTCAGAAAAGGTTCTGATGAAGGCATCCCTTTAGTGATTTCAGCACCTGATTCTGTGATCTCCAAAGCATATGGTGATACAGCACAAAATGTTGTCAACAAACTTGAGGAATTGGCAAAGGAGCCATCTCTCTATCCAGAGATTAATCTGTAAAAACTTTGGTAGAAGAACAATCTCCCCTCAATCTAGTAGCCATCAAATACTTTTTCTTGATTTTGTTACTTGCTTAGGTGTATGCTAATTTTAATATCTCTTTTCCTTTTCGTTGTATGAGTAAGTCGATGTATTCTAGAAATAGGGCATAGGGAAAAGCTCAGAGCAATTTGCTCCAGATCTCAGCCAGTGGCTCTCTTCCTCTGCAGATTGTTTAGCTACACTGACAACATTTTGATAAGCGAGTGAAACAATTGGGGGTATGCATCCACCTATCCTGACACCATTCCAGATGCTGTAGCCAGACTATTGACATTAATTTTAAGTTTTCTTGAAGATATAGCACTGATGAGAATTCATTAACTGTTGAATGATTACAAAAAAGCTATCCATTTACCTAGTCGTGAAATACCAGGTTGCAATAAGTCGTTGGGGAGGATTAGTTTAAGAATTCCATAACCCAGAAAAACTTGTAGCTCAAGAATTCCATATCCCGTGTCCTTTCTGTGCTTGCACCTTTGCTCACAAAAGATTGATTTGTGGTGCTGAGCTTATTGCAACACGGAATTATTCTAGAATTTCTCCACTGAATTTGCAAACTGTTACTTCACAATGACCTCAGACAGCATATGATTCTCATCCAGAAAAAGAAAACTTGAATGTGCATCTACCGCGCATACCTCTCTAAGGGTTCGTTTATTAACGCGAAGCACCGTGTTGAGAACATTTATTTTGTGTTTTTAATAAACGGGCTTTATCTTGATATGTTTTTTTTTTTTTTTTATCAAGAGATTCAAAGGATTATTTTCTGTGAGGCAGATATATATCGTGTAGTCATTGTATATTGGATTGGCATATGTTTAAAACTGTATATAAAGAGTTTTAACGAGAGCATCTTTGAATACTTAAAAGTTTTATATCCCAAGCGAGTTCTTAAGAAACTGCTCGTATTTTAACAAAAGTTGCTCTTCGCAGTCGTATCAATTAGCCGAAAGGCTTGGAAAAAAACGCCGTTCTAGGTGGTATGCTGCCTGTTGATACCAGATTCAAAGGATTAGCGCACCTCTTAGGTCAACATAAAATCATTCCTTTCAAAACCAAAAGGAAGAATTTATTCAAGGCACAAATGAGAGATATTTTGTTTCATCACAGAGTTATTTGATTCTTCTTTTCCTAATCTTTATTAGGTTTCATGAGGAAATACAATGAATCGACGCTTAAATTTTTATAATTTTTTAATGATTTTATAATAAAAAAAAACTTGTTTATATATAATAATCACAGCATAGCAAGTATAGTTTAGTAATAAAAATGTGATTCGTATTATTATTCATAGTTAAGGACTGATACGAAAGACTTATTATGATAAAAACTTTTACTTATGCAATTATATTTTTTATTAGAGATTACAATGCGGAATAGAATGAGGATAATATATTGTCAAAAATACTAGATTATAAAGAAGCTATCATATACCATTTAAGTAGGCAATTTTTTTTATAGGATTCCATACTTTTAAACTTTATAATGTTTGTTTTTGGTACTCTGAACTTTTGTTTTAGATCTCCAATTAATCCTAAGGATATATATTCTTTTATATCTTGTAATTTTGGGTGATGGTTCGAGTCAAGTATCACAACTTTTTTTACTCATTTTAAATATTGTTTTTCTCATTCTATGTTGGAATAAAAATTTATTGATAGACAAGATTTTACAAAAAAATTCTTTATAATATTCTTTATAGAAAAGAAATTTTCTTTTTCTTATATGGTTGAGTTTATTTTTTTTAAAATAAATTAGAATATATTAAAATAATATTTTTAAAAAAAATTAATGTATGAAAATGATTTAAAAATATTAAAAAATTAAATTCTTTTTTAAATAGTTTGATGTAACTTCTAAAGATACTGAAAAGAATAAAGTTATCTTTATTTTTTTATAATATTGAAAAAAATGATAAAAAGAAAAAGAAAACTATCGTACATTTGAGAGATCAATATATTTATTTTTCTGATGGTAAAAAAGTATTTATATTTCTTTAAAAGAAAAAACTTCTTTGAATCCGAGATATCAAGAAGGAAAAAAAAAAAAACTTCTTTGAATCCGAGATATCAAGAAGGAAAAAAAAAAAAATCTTATCCTTACAAGAAAAGGGAAATAGGAAAGGCTAAAACTTAAAAGTTGATCAAAGATTTCCTCCCAAAATCCCCACCCAAACAGCACTTAACGGGAAGAGTTGCAGCGGTCTCCACTCTCCACTTGACCACGCCCTTTCCTGCAACTAGAGGCATATCCATTCCTCTCAGTTTCCTTCCATTTCCCTCCTCTCATTTCCGTTACTGTCCTCTCTTCTCTTCACTCTCAATCTCCTTCCCGTTCCGCCCCTGAATGCATAACTACACCGTAACTCTCAAATCTCCACTCCCTTACCATGCACCTCCTTCCCACCCTATCTTTTCTCTCCCACTTAACCCTAGACAGTTTGTCCTCCCTTTATCCCCTCAAAAAACTGGAGGATCCACCTACCACAACCCCGTTTTCATCTGTAAAGGAACCCAACTATCCGTCCCCAGTCATGGCTCTACTTCGCTTGGACCTTCAAACGGGAACGGTGCTGCCGTTCACGACTGGAAAGTGAGGAGTGTTGGTATCGAAAACATTGATGTTGCCACCCTGGGAAATCTCTGTGTTGATATTGTTCTTAATGTTCCAAAATTGCCCCCTCGTTCTCGTGAGGCTAGTTTTGCTTATATGCAAGAGCTGTCCAAATCCCCACCTGATAAGGTTTGCTCTTCTTTTAAATGATTTCAGTTGTTTGACTTTTTGAAATTATTAGTAACGAAGATAAATTACATTGAAAAATATGAAATTGGAGTGTTGTATTTATGACACTGTTGTTAATATTAGATTTTAATTTGAATTTTTGATTTATTATTATGGTTTTAGCAGAAATTTAATCAGTATAATTGAAAATCTATGAAGTTTAATTCTCGCATCAGTGACCCTTTTATTTGTTTTAGCTGTTCATCTGTTTTTGGATCAGTTTTGATGTGATTTTTGCAAGTTCAGATGCTGATGTTAGTATTTAATATGTGGAGATGATTGGTGTAAAAAAAATGACAAGGAAAATAAATAAAGTTATGTTTGTGTTGATTAATGTTATTTTTGAAGAATTTCAATTGGTATTTGACTCATTATCTTACTAATAAAAGGCAATTACATTACTGAGCACTTGTCTGTGTTGGTTGTTAGTTTGTTTTTAAAGTAATTTGTGCGTGTTCCTTTTTGCAAGTAGAAATACTGGGAAGCTGGAGGTAACTGCAATATGGCTATAGCAGCTGCAAGATTGGGACTTCATTGCGCCACGATTGGTCACGTGGGTGATGAAATATATGGGCAATTTTTGCTTGATGTGCTTCGCGAGGAGGGGATCAGTATGGTTCGAATGAGTGAAGATGGTGATATTGTTGATAGTTCTAATGCTTCATATGAGACCCTTTTGTGTTGGGTTCTTGTTGACCCTTTGCAAAGACATGGATTTTGTAGGTAAATGTTTTCCTGGATTTGTAGAATTAGATTACAATATTGAAAAAAGAAAAGAAAAGAGGTTGCTATTATCTTTTTGTGCTCAACAGGATCATCTTTATGTGGCTTTTGTTGTTTTCAGTCGAGCAGATTTCTGCAAGGAACCTGCATTTAGCTGGATGAGTAAATTATCAGAAGAAGTAAAGATGGCTATTAAACAGTCAAAGATCCTGTTCTGTAATGGTTATGGATTTGATGAGCTTTCCCCAGCTCTGATAATGTTAGCTCTAGATTATGCTGTTGAAGTTGGAACGTCTGTTTTCTTTGATCCTGGACCACGTGGAAAGAGTCTTTTGACTGGAACACCTGAAGAACGACTGGCTTTAAGCCATTTGTTGAAGATGAGTGATGTTCTTCTTCTAACATCTGATGAGGTTTGACCAAGAACTTTCTTAGAATGTTTTAAGATTAGCTTCAGTTCTCAGCAAAATGCAATCACTTTAATCTCCAATCAAAAGTTCAAAACTAGTCCAATATTGAAAACAATTCTGAAAGCAGTAATAATGACAATAATAAATACATAAGATAGATTACCTTGTGTTTTTGTTTATATCCCTTGCATACTGTGATTGGCACGTGTATACCTAGAGTTTACAAAATAATAGAGAGTTTTGTCGAGCATGAAAAATTTGGAAAGACAATTTTTTAGAATATTCTTCATTTAACTTAAATATGAAATGCTGTATAGAGATGAATTCAGAGTTGTGGATGAGTTAGTCTGGATATTGCAATGAAACCATGGTCAATGTGTAAACTATTCTTCAAAAACTTTCATTTGTTGAAGTATAAACTGATTGTTAAATGAATTAGTTTTATTAAGCACTTTCCATCTGTCCCAATAAGTGTTTGAAGTTCAATGCTAACAGAAATTCTTACTGCGTGATTGTCATCTATAACTTTCACCTTGTTCTTTGGATATGCTGTCAATTACAGATTGCTGCTTACTTCTATAGAACCAATGAGTACTGAAATCCTTCATGGCTCATGAATACTACTTGTTAATGGATACACAACATGACTAAAAAGCTCCAAACAGCATCATCGATGTGTTTTATCCACGAATTAGAATATTAGTTTTAGATTTTTCCTTGGCCATTATACGCCAGGAGTAATTTCTTTTCTGGTTTGTCTTGGAGCTTTTTATGGCTGTTACAAGTAGTTTGTTACACTTCACTTGTATAGCAATTAACTCGTCTTTCATTTGTGCTCTGAGTTTGAATTCTTTAAGCTGTTTGCATGGTGCTGTTCTGATTTAGTTCGCATACATCAATTATCTGACAGGCTGAGTCATTGACTGGAATAGGAAACCCAATACTGGCAGGGCAAGAATTGCTTAAAAATGGGATACGCACAAAATGGGTGATCATTAAAATGGGTTCGAGGGGCTCGATTCTAGTTACCATGTCAAGTATATCCTGTGCACCTGCATTCAAGGTATGATATTCCTGACCTTTTCATAGAGTCATTTGACGGTGCAACTCTATTGTATTTCCTTGAAACCATGCGCCTTTATTCTCCTGTATAATGCCTTAGTTTTAGGATGTTTTTAGTGCATCAAATTTGAACATGTTCATTGTTAATTTCCACCATTTACTGCCTCATTTTGCTTGCTGGACATTTCCAAAGCCTTTCGGCTTTCAAAACCTGAGAGGAAGCGAAACCAAGAGCATGGCAAGTAGTAAAGAGTCTTTGTTCTGATCATGTTTGATTTTTCTTTTTCTTTTTTCTTTTAATTTAGGTCATGTAAGTTTTGCTTTTATACACGTGTGAATAATTCA